TAGACAATGTGAGGTCCTGTTAGACGAGATTCTAGGAAAGGAATGCAGTTAACAACCTGCCACGTCCTCTTGCACTATTCACGCAGTCCCACCCCACACCCTTGTTTTCGCATAAAACCCACACTCCTCTTGCAGCCCGCGGTCGTATTCTTCCAGGATAGTCACGTCAGCAAGTAGAGAAAGTGAGGGTGGGCAGACACATCAAACTTTCCCACGATATCAGAGAAATTCAGGAATGAAAATGATGTTACATACGAGGTTGATGCATTTGTGCATATTGTACTAAGCAAGGTATAAAAACAGTTGCTTTATGAGGAATTAGTTCGTACCATTGAATATTTGATGCAATAGACAAGGTGTCGCAGAAACCGATGTTGCTATAACCAAGTTTTACTGTATATATTATATGAAATAATTGAGTTTATATATTTAACTTCATGAAATATTCTTAAAGAGTACTGACTAAATTCAAACAAAAAACAAACTCCATGGTTTTAGTCTGCAAGTGAACTATACAGACCGAGCGACCACCGCTTGTTGGCAAAGTTTGTGCCAACTACAGTGGATAGAGAGTGTTGCATGGTGAGCGCAGTGAATCCCCATGGCCGTTAATTTCGGTTTTCTAGATTGGAGCCGCTATTTCCTTGAAATAGCTCCTGAATTGAAGAAAGCAGTCTTCTGGGATTTGGCACCGTGTATATGTGGTGTTAACCGACGTTTCGGAGGAACGTATCGCCCCCATCTTCAGGGTTGAAGAAAAAGTTTAAGAAATCTGCAAGCGACAACACCGTGAGAAACGGTAAAGCAGACTGGAAATATACACAGCTATGTGATAGCAGAGAGGGAAGGGGGGGGGAGGAAAGGCAAGTAAACAAGTGAAAGCAGTGGTGTGGGAGGGGTAGGGGAAGGGAGCTGGGACCAGCGTGGTTTTGTGTAGGGGAGAGAATAGCCAGGTTAAAAGGCTGGGCTTTAAACCTTAAGCTGAAGGGGGGGGGTGTTATGTTGGTTGGTCATGGCCTTGGGCCTACTGGATCTGGGGTCATATCCCGGTGGGGGTTTTTTAAGAGAACAGATAAGAGGTTTCCAATACTTGCTGAGACGAAACCCATCCTCTCTGTTCATATTCCCTGGATGCAGTTCGATCTCAATGGCTTCCCTAATGATGCGGTCCATATAGCGCGTCTTGGTGGCGAGGATGGAGGTATTCTGAAGCTGAATGTGGTGTCCCAGTTCGATGCTGTGTTCAGCTACGGCCGACTTGTCCGGATGTTCGAGACGGATGTGCCGCTGATGCTCCTTCAACCTCGTGTCCACGGAGCGGCCTGTCTGCCCAATATAGACCTTCCCGCACTCGCATGGGATACTGTATACACCCGGTGTCCTTAGGCCCAGGCTGTCTTTAACTGGCCGGAGGAAATTGGATAATTTGTATGGAGGCAGACCCACTGCTTTGATGTTGTGCCGGGACAGCACTCTGCTGATACGGCTGAATATGGTCCCGACATAGGGAAGGAAGGCAACTGAGCCTGGTTTGTCTTCAGGCTGGCTGATGTTGGGCCGACGGTTGAGAACTCTGTAGATCTGCTGGTTGTTGTATCCGTTCTTCTTGAATACATCCTTCAGGAGCAGCAACTCCGCATGTAGGCTGTCTTGATCACACAGTGCTCTGGCCCTGTGC